AACGGATTGTTAGGTTTATGAATTATGATCTGTCCACGCCTTTCCAGCATTCCACTTGACTCTCTGACCGTAATAGCTTGAAACAATTCAATAATTTATTTCCTAAATAAAAAAACCAATGACTGGTCAAAGAAACAGGGAATATTCCTGCAAGAAGGAAGAATATTCTCCCAACAAAAACTTTGCTTATCAATTAATTTCCTCAAGCCCAACTGAAAATGGAAGCCCAAAATTGTAAATTCGTGGTCCATTCATTTTTCTGGGTTTGGTGCAACAGGCTTTGGGCAATAAACAAAGGCGAAACAAAAGTGGGCTAGTTCGTGCTTGGTAAAACTGTGGATAAACCACGTAAATTCGTAGGTTAAATATTTGTGTATTAGGTAACGTATTATGTGTGCTTGCTTCAGAGAATATTATATTATTGAAAATATTTTATTAAAAAAGATAGATTATATTAAAAATTATTGAGAACGTTATATTAAATGTGTTTGGTTAGATTATAATAAATTGGTAAATATATTATATTTATATGTTTAGTTAGAAGAAAAGAATAAATTAATGGGTATGTTATATAGATTATTGAATTACCCTTTTTTTTTAATATTATTATTATGATTTGGATTATTTTTTTAATCCCTTATATTTGAGATTTTGCTAAAACACTCCAATCACAATAAAAGTTTAAATTTTAATAAAAACACCCTCACCCACCCAAGCCACTACGAGTCGCAGCTTCAACGGTGCATGACTGAACGAACGGATACGGTTGGCCGTGCATCAATCTGGAAAAAAACGGCTACATCCATTCTAGTAAAAAACAACAAGATCTATTACAGTCGTTTCCATGGATATGGCCGACGGTCAGATTGACGCATGACTGACTAGATCTGGTCGGTCGTGCACCGTTCTGGCGATGTCTTGAGTAATTTGGTTCAAGTTCAAGGGTAATAATGTCCTAAAAATCTTGTGTATAATGATGAATATTCTTGTAAATTGTGTTAAGAGCAAGGGCGTTATTGTCAAAATATTTTAATAGTTAGGTGTAAAATTACAATAAAAATAAGATTACCAAGTAATCTTAGAATACCTAGAAAAAATGATAGTATTCAGATTACCACCTATATAACCAACAACAATTATTATTGGTTTTGGAAGATTATCAGAATTTTTTATTACTTGATAATCAAACATGATAATGTATATATTATAAGATGACATTACTAAAGTACTGTCAAATACCCTTGAACTAAACACACCCTAAATTACAGGTATTAAATGCAACCTTACCGTATAAAGTATGATATTTTATTATTTACTATTTTACAATTTGGGACATTTATCATTTTACTAAAAAAGAATACATAATTTCTGGTAAGAGCATAAGAGAGAAAATTTTCTTCCTTGGAACAAGAAATATGAATATATTTTTTCATAGAAAGTCCAATACATTGAACAAATTTTTCTTGGTTTTGTAAGATTAAACCAAATTTATTCTTCAATTAAGCCCTGTTTAATCCAACAATCTCCATTATTGGTATAAAGTTAGGCCTAACTACCCAATATAAACAGTGTCTTATCCTATATTAACAAATATATAGAAATAGAAATAAGCATATGTATAAATTTAGGTAAAAGATTTATTGACTTGGGACCAAGATTTGATATAAATTCGCAGCTATTTTTTCAACATGATTTGATATTCAATCTTTGAATGCATGCATGGTCCAGTCTCAAGTCAATTCAGCGAAACATAGAATAAAGGATTTGGTCAGTAATATTTAATTTCTTATATTGATACTCCATATAAATTAATAGATCTTTATAATATAATAAACATATTAATATTTGATACCAATCCTGATTCCTGAGAATATAAAGGATTTGTATAAGTTGGATCAGTCTCAGTTATAAGAAATTTTCATATTAAAACTCCGTAATGCCCCCTTAAAATTAGTTGTTTTTACTTGTTATACTTCAAACTCGATCAATTTTCTTTTGCATTGTCATCTTCTCTATATATATTATTTAACTGCAAAGCAGAAATACTGATATAATAAAGGGCCGTTTGGATTGGAGGTATATAAGATAACGGGGGTAATCTTCATTTATTTTATCAGATTCTGGTGTTTAGTTTGTAAGTAATAAAATATTACGGTAATCTTTTATTGCAAATAGTATTTACTGTTGGTAATGTGACAGGTAATCTTATTACCACATTAGGGGGTGTTATTAAAATATTACCAGGGTAATCTGATTTTTCTACCTATTTTACCCTTAATTAAAAACCATTTCGCACACAATTGCCCTCAAATGTCTACCAAATAATAATTACCCAACCCTCCTACATTTGAGAAATTAGCTAAAATGCCCTAGCCACAAAAAATATTTAAAAGTTAACAAAATACCCCCAGCCACCCAAGACCATTGTTGGCCGTGACTTACCACCGTCAGCCGCCGACGTTAGTCGTCGTAATGCTACACGACCGACAAGATATGGTCAGTCGTGCACCAGTAAGGCCTTTTCCGACCATGGATCACAAATTCATGGTCGGAAACGGTTAGTTTTGGCGTTTCTATGACCGTTTTACCACCAAAGATGTGGTTATGAAAATGCCAGATCTTTGGTCATGAAATGGCCATAGATTTGACTATTTTTTTGGCATGGTTTTGTGATCCATGGCACTTTCCAGCTTTGCCGGTGCACGGCCGACCATATACGACCAGTCGTGTGCCATTCCGTCGACTGTATGTAGTGGCCGACGGTGGTGGCTAGCTGCCGGCAGTGGCTTAGGGTGGGTGTGGGTAATTTTGCTATAAATTAAAATTTTATATGACTGGGGTGTTTTAGCAAAATTTCAAATGTAGGGGGTTAAAAGAAATTATATAAAAAATAATAATAGAAAATACTATTATATTAATATTTAAAAAGGAGGGCAATTTAGTAATCTATATGACATACCCACTTCATTGTCCTCCCAACCAAACATATTATTTACCAATTTATTCGAACCAACTAAACACATTTTCAAACATTCCCAGTAATCTTCAAGGTGATCTTTCTTTCCGTTAATATAATATACCCCTATAATAAAATATTATATGATCCAAATGCCCCCAAAGAGTTAACGACTTTTTCCCACCCAAGTAATGGTTTAATGACAATTTTTCACCCATAGACTTTTAAATGACCACTTTACTACCCAAATTTATATTTTGGTGGCAAATAGAGAACAAATTCGGTCCAGGCTATTACGACATTTGAAGAGGGAAGACCGATGAGTCTTTTGGTGGTTGGGATTGATCGAAATTTAACTTAGGAGGGGTGGTTGCGTAAGCCCTAATCACTCAATTGTCAACGATTGACGAGATCAGTGAGAGTAGGGTTTGAGGAGTTTTGGTGAGTGATGATCGAAGAAGAAAATGGTGGTGGTGTGGGATCACAATGATACTGGAATCGAAAATATGATATAAATTTGGGTAATAATTTTTAAAATCTACGGGTCAAAAAGGTCATTGAGCCATTATTTGGGTAAGAAAAGTTGTTTATAATAAATTAGCTTGTAGGTCCAACTCATGTTCACAATCAAATTGATTATGGGGCGGCCCCAAATATACACAGCATCAATAAATTAATACTATATTTGGATTTTCATCCTTATCTATGTAAACAAACGGTATGAAGTATGAACGATTAAACCTAAGTTAGTAAATTAATACAGTGCAGGTGATGTCAGGCAATTAATAATTTAAATAAATTACAATAGTTCGACGGGTCATAATTTATCGTCTATTTAAGAAGTTGAAATCTTGAAAGGTCAAGCAACGCAGTAATCAGTCACATATAAATACTCTAGGAAACGTTTGGCGATTTCAGTAAATAAAATGGTAACTTGCGTATTCGTATGGTCTTTTTTTATAAAACTAATTCAAGACCCGGCAAGTTTCATGTTTACTGAAGTATCCAGTTTATGATGTGATGAATATGGAGATTATAGAGTGAATGAGTGATGAAATGAAACTGAAACCCCACCTTCTTGAATTGGAGTTAAGTTATGAAATGGTGGCTTTGCAGCTACAGGCTACAGCCATTCAATGCCTGAGTTGTTCTTCTTATCGTCTGTAGTTGATGACCAAGAGAACTCACAAGGTTCATCACGATATCAATCCATTCCTGCTGCTGTTTTAAGCCTGTATTATTAAACCTAATTTCACTGTGGATATAATTAATATATCAATCTTAGAAGTAATTAATTAGTTAGCTAAATAGTCACTTTATCTGACTAATTAAGTCCATTAATTTGTACGTGTTAGGAAAGTCCAACTATGAAGCTATATTATCCATGTCAGTCATCAGAATATGAACTTAAGTAAGAATCCAACTCCGTCACTTATTGACCAATTAAATTGATGCTTTATGCATACTACTAAAAAACGGTGATTTATTTTATGTTGTTAATCGCGCTGGACTTTGAAAATTCATCCATTATTCTTACTAAAAACTGTCAAAAAATTGAATAAAATAAAGGAAGATTTATTATTTTCAGGTGTCACTATTCCATACCAAATATTTTATCATATGATAATGTAAATCGGTCACCCATTTTCCCTTCTTCTGCATCTTCATATTTAATTTGTTTCATTAAACAACTTTGATTTTCTTTTGTGTCTGCTTCTGTATTTCAACTCTCTGACCAGCGGACTTATTTTTGAAACCTTCTACAGTACATACAAAAGTTGAGTCCCACAATACTCGTTTGACCACATAACCAATAGCCTGCAATAATAATGCAAAGTCTCCATCCCTTTCATTAATTAATTTTATTAAACCCTCCTTAATTACGCAAATATATATAACAAACACCACCTATAAATGTATACTTATTCATAATCAGAAATAACTTGTAATTATCTATATATAATATTTGGCTTCTGAGTATCCTGTCCGTTCCTTCTGTTATATATATAGAGGGAGATATCAGTTATTGTTTGTGGATCAGGAAGGTACGTAATTGAGCATCGAAAAAATGAGCAACGTAAAAACCAAGAAGAGCAACCAACCGGGCATATTCAACAAATGCTTGAGGGCAACAATAAGGATGTTAATCAAGGCGAGGGACCTGTACGTGGAGGGCATGACTGACTGGTCAGAGAAGATTGCTTTGGGGACGGCGATGGGGTGCCCAACGGGTCAAGTCAACATGGGTTTGCCCCGGAGTTACAGTGTTAACTCGTCCAAATCATCGAGCAATAACGAGGACATGAGAGAGCTCATTAGAGCTGCTTCTACAAGGAGTCTAGGCAATAGAACTGATTCGGATCTTCTTCAGAGACAAGTGCAGGCAAGTAAAAGTGGATCAAATAAAAAGAAAATGCCGAGGAGTTTTAGTGTTGGTATTGGGAGAATTGATGAAGAACATATTTGTGATTTTGAGGAGGGTGATGTCAAGGTCAAGAAGAATAGTAATTTATTTCAAAGAAGTAGGAGCTATGCTGTTCCAAATTGACCATTGTCTACTTTCTTTTGTTTCTTGTTTCTGTAGTTACCTTTAATTTTTAGTTTGGCTTTGTGATTTGAGGTTGGTTGTGATTATATTTGAAGCTTATATACTCTTTTTAATGGAATATCATAATTTGTATCAGTTATTGGTATGTTCAGGACTCGAGTGGATATGTGAATCCTACCAGAAACTTTAACATCTTGATCTTTTTGTACAGATATTATAATTTTAGGGTACAAATATCCATGATTCCCCTATATTTTCTGCCCGATAAGTTTGTCAATAGATCAGTGATTCTAGCCATCGTTTAGGCTCAGTCTGATATGGTACTGCTGCCACCTGGTGACGAAAGTTTGCTCTTGGAGACTTCTCGTCTGAGACATCGAGGCTTAATCAGTATAAATTGAACCCAAATGACAAAACTCAAATTAAAGGCTGGACTCAATGCTATGGAAAAAAATTGGTTTTAGATTAAATATATTTAAGTAGTAATGGAAATATAATTATACCCTTGTATTAAGAAGTATATTTCTGTATTAATGGGTTAAATATAATCTCAATTGTCTTTCAAACGGGGTAGATCCTCATTTCTTGGGCAATATTATCCCAAAAGGAAAAACAATGGTCGGGTCCTATCAAATTAAATCAAGCTAAGATCATAATTAATCTGATGGCCCTGGGTTATTTCAAACTATCAATTCAATAATATTATTTTGTGTCGATAAGAATACTTAAATCATATTAAACATTTTAATCAAATTGAACTTATAAATAACATAATCCATAATTTAGCATTTTCCATAAGTCAGGTACAACATCTTACTTACTAAAGCGAAGGAAGACATAGAAAAGTTGACCTAATTTGCATTTTGGACCCGCAGAAGATTGCGATTGATAGAACCTCATAACCTAAGTAATGGGTGTTTTTATAAATTTGATTGGTACGTTTATTACAATTCAATTGTTTTATATAAGCAAGTGCTAAGGTTTTCTCACTTTAAAAATTATGCAGCTCCACGTATTATTACATTATAGAGAGGTGGGTAGATTTCAGTTTATCAAACAATGCTTCGACAATTTAGATTCATCAATATTTAATAATCCATTATTGGAGCCATTAACTTTAACTTTTTCTTTTTCTTAATTATAGACATTAAGATACTACATATTGAACTATTTTTCCAAATAATTTTATAAGCTTCATGGTTCTTAGAGAGTGGCCACTTTTATATGATAAAGAATACGATTTGATGAAGGTTGAAATCACTTTACTTATAGACCAATAAGTATAAGAAGAACAAGTGCTAAACACATCAACAAATATGTCCAATTGTTTTATTTTATTGTTGAATTTTTCTATTGTTGATGGTGAAGTTGCAGGTTAGCACTATAAACTATATAGATATATTATTCTACTAATGCAATGAAGCTTCAAAAAAATTGATTTTCTGCTTTTACTCAAGTCCTAAATTCTAATGCAGCTATTCGAGGGAATACTCCAACAGTGAAGGTATTCAAGAATTGGATTCTCTAACCATTACTCAAGTGCCAATTGCAGTTTCTGATTGGTAAAACTAGCTGGTTACCCAGCTCCAGAATACCAGCCTAAGCAATGTTTTGCCATGTTCAAGAGATGGACTTCTCAAGAACCTGCTCTAGCTCCAGAACCCCGATCTGCAAATTGCTTGAGTTCTTAAAAACTCATTGTGCTCCACTTATCACAACCATTTGTACACATATATAAAGAGAATGAGATGAATAAAGGATCGATTGAGATCATGATTGAAATTGGTTGATTAACTAATTCTTTAATGTTAAGTGTAACCAAATCCTTGACTTGAGATATTGAAAGTTCACCAACAAAATCCAGATTTCATTTGCTCAATCCCAATTGATTGGATATAGGAACAATAGATGTAACCCCTTGATGAGTTTTAAGTTTGGCAGTTTAGGACTGACCCCACTGCCTTAATTTTATCCTCCTCTAAGATCACTTTATTTAAGGAAACCAAACTCTTAAGAAATTTTGTAATGGCCATGGCCACTTAAAGACACTAATTTTGTCCGCCATTGTAGACAAAGTGAGCACCTTAATAGGTTATTTGCTTTGTAATGACCTTCAGAAACTAAATATGAAAAGAATCACCGTGTGACAGAAAAGTAAACATAGAACTCCATTTTCATAGTTACAAACTTTGCTTCATCAATCTGATGGTGTAAGAAACAAAAATTGTTTCAAAGAAGAAGAAAACAAGTAATAGTATACATTTGTTTGATTCTGCAGTACAATGATGAGAATATGCATCTTCTATCCTCACCATTTTGTGCAAGATGAGACAAAGATGGCCCACGTGATTGCCTATGTAACTTAGAACTAACTTACAACCCAAAATAGATAACGCATCATCAACATCTGTATCAGCCATGCAGCAAGTCCAAAAACAAGCTCTTCGTCTTCGTCTTCTTCTTCTTCTTCCGAGGGATATCAAATCTCCTTTACACTCATCTTTCTCAGCCATAAGGCAGAGAAGGGTAGAAATTCAAATCCTATCAGCAATAAAAAATTTATGAACAATTGGCCAAAATGAAAGTGCAAATTCATAAGCAGAACATTGACATTGATTGGACCAACTTCAGCAATTTGGGATACCTCTATTTTATTATGTTACTGTTGTTATTAAGGCCTACGGTTTCTTTGTCGACCATTAAGTATATTCCTGGATTTTCCGGTTCCCTTCCCTTCAAGCTTGAAACTGGGTGAGTTTGTTTTTCAATTTCACATACATTGTTTCATTTCCTAGATTCAGTAAACCCTTTGGAATGATCAAACAAGGAGAATAAGAGATAATATGCACTTAATTTTTTTTATAACTAGTACAATGTTTATATATAGATATATTGGCGTGGATGAGAACCAAGATGTTCAACTCTTCTACTATTTTATAGAATCTGAAGGAAATCCAAGTGAGGATCCCCTGGTGCTTTGGCTCACTGGAGGCCCTGGTTGCTCTGCCTTCTCCGGACTTGCTTTTGAGATAGGTGTTCCACTTATTTCTTCTTTTTAATATTCTTTTTGCCGTCAAAAGGTACCTAAAATAGAATGTAAGTCTCATTTTTTTATATGAAATGGTTACTCCTCTTCACATGAACGAGCTTTTTGATTCATTTCATACTTATGCAGGCCCTATACGTTTTGACATTGTCAAGTATAATGGCAGCTTACCAACCATGGCACTGCATCCGCATTCATGGACAAAGGTGGAGAAGATTTATTGACCGAGTGATGAGAGATTACAGCTGTTATTTTTGGTTGTTTTTTATGATTTCCAACCGACTATTTGATGCATTTCCAGGTCTCCAGTATAATCTTCTTGGATGCACCAGTAGGCACTGGATTCTCCTATTCAAGGAGCTTCCAAGGTTCCAAGACTGGAGACACAAAGTTTGCCAAACAAAGTTATGAATTTCTGAGAAAGGTGTGAAAACATTTTGATTTAATCCAATCATAATGGCATCTTAAGATAACAGACGTGGTTTATAGTTTAATTAAATTTAAGGTACAAGGCGCCTTCTTGCACTTCTGTTGTTGATAAATCATTTACTGAAATTAGTACTGGTTGGCTATACAGTGGTTGCTGAGACACCCAAAATTTATTAGAAATCCCCTCTATGTTGCCGGTGACTCACATTCTGGAAGGATCGTTCCGATCATTTCAAGTAAAATATCAGCTGGTAATCTTGGATGGTGCCTTTCTCAATTCCCCAACCCTTCTTGATTATGGCCAGTTCCAAAGTTTATAATGACTCTGCAGGCATTGAAGTTGGGCATGAACCACCAATCAATCTCAAAGTATGTATTCTAGTATCCTCAAAATTACCTTGTTGCTTGGTGTCTTTGGTTTTATGCAGCAATGACATGCCCACAAACCGTTTCAGGGTTATGTGCTGGGTAACCCAGCAACAGATTCAAAATTTGATGACAATTCAAAAGTTCCATTTGCTCATCGCATGGCACTTATTTCTGATGAAATCTACCAGGTCAATTTTAACTTCCTTTCAGTTGTAATCCTAGGTATTTCATACAAATTGCCATCAAATTACATGAAAGTTTTATAGTCACATGTTAGCTTAGTTCTGCGCAATCCGAGATAGTTCTAAGTTGTGCATTTCTACCAGTCGGCGAAAAGGAATTGCAGAGGAGAATATGTAGAAGTAGACAAGAGCAATGTACAATGTGCAAAGGATCTTAAAGCTATCTATGAGGTGAAAATGCTGATATGTTTTCTAATTTTAAAGATCATGTTTCTTGATTTTTGTTTGCTTTGTTGATTCCATGAACAATTTTGCCTGTTCAGATCAAATCTAGGGCCTGGTTATTTCAAACTAATTCAAAATATATAATATGTTGTGTCGATAAGAATACTTAATCAATTAAATTTTAATCAAATTGAACTTATAAATAACATAATCCATAATTTAGCATTTTCCATAAGTCAGGTACAACATCTTACTTACTAAAGCGAAGGAAGACATGAAAAGTGACCTAATTTGCATTTTGGACCCGCAGAAGATTGCGATTGATAGAACCTCATAACCTAAGTAATGGTGTTTTTATAAATTGATTGGTACGTAAAACTTGTTTATTACAATTCAATTTTTTTTTATATAAGCAGTGCTAAGGTTTTCTCACTGTAAAAATTATGCAGCTCCACGTATTATTACATTATAGAGGTAGTTAGATTTCAGTTTATCAAACATATGCTTCGACAATTTAGATTCATCAATATTTTAATCCATTATTGGAGCCATTAACTTTAACTTTTTCTTTTCTTAATTTAGACATTAAGATACTACATATTGAACTATTTTTCCAATAATTTTATAAGCTTCATGGTTTAGAGAGTGGCCACTTTTATATAAAGAATACGTTGAAATCACTTTACTTATAGACCCAATAAGTATAAGAAGAAAGTGCTAAACACATCAACAAATATGTCCAATTGTTTTATTTATTGTTGAATTTTTCTATTGTTGATGGTGAAGTTGCAGGTTAGCACTATAAACAATAGATATATTATTCTACTAATGCAATGAGCTTCAAAAAAATTGATTTTCTGCTTTTACTCAAGTCCTAAATTCTAATGCAGCTATTCGAGGGAATACTCCAACAGTGAAGGTTTCAAGAATTGGATTCTCTAACCATTACTCAAGTGCCAATTGCAGTTTCTGATTGGTAAAACTAGCTGGTTACCCACTCCAGAATACCAGCCTAAGCAATGTTTTGCTATGTTCAAGAGATGGACTTCTCAAGAACCTGCTCAGCTCCAGAACCCCGATCTGCAAATTGCTTGAGTTCTTAAAAACTCATTGTGCTCCCCTTATCCACCCATTTGTACACATATTAAGAGAATGAGATGAAAAAATGGATTGAGATCATGATTGAAATTGTTTGATTAATTACCTAATTCTTTAATGTTAGTGTAACCAAATCCTTGACTTGAATCTTGCAAGATTTTCATCCTTATCTATGTAAACAAACGGTATGAACGATTAAACCTAAGTCAGTAAATTAATACAGTGCAGGTGATGTCAGGCAATTAATCATTTAAATAAATTACAATAGTTCGACGGGTCATAATTTATCATCTATTTAAGAAGTTGAAATCTTGAAAGGTCAAGCAACGCAGTAATCAGTCACATATAAATACTCTAGGAAACGTTTGGCGATTTCAGTAAATAAAATGGTAACTTGCGTCTTCGTATGGTCTTTTTTTATAAAACTAATTCAAGACCCGGCAAGTTTCATGTTTACTGAAGTATCCAGTTTATGATGTGATGAATATGGAGATTATAGAGTGAATGAGTGATGAAATGAAACTGAAACCCCACCTTCTTGAATTGGAGTTAAGTTATGAAATGGTGGCTTTGCAGCTACAGGCTACAGCCATTCAATGCCTGAGTTGTTCTTCTTATCGTCTGTAGTTGATGACCAAGAGAACTCACAAGGTTCATCACGATATCAATCCATTCCTGCTGCTGTTTTAAGCCTGTATTATTAAACCTAATTTCACTGTGGATATAATTAATATATCAATCTTAGAAGTAATTAATTAGTTAGCTAAATAGTCACTTTATCTGACTAATTAAGTCCATTAATTTGTACGTGTTAGGAAAGTCCAACTATGAAGCTATATTATCCATGTCAGTCATCAGAATATGAACTTAAGTAAGAATCCAACTCCGTCACTTATTGACCAATTAAATTGATGCTTTATGCATACTACTAAAAAACGGTGATTTATTTTATGTTGTTAATCGCGCTGGACTTTGAAAATTCATCCATTATTCTTACTAAAAACTGTCAAAAAATTGAATAAAATAAAGGAAGATTTATTATTTTCAGGTGTCACTATTCCATACCAAATATTTTATCATATGATAATGTAAATCGGTCACCCATTTTCCCTTCTTCTGCATCTTCATATTTAATTTGTTTCATTAAACAACTTTGATTTTCTTTTGTGTCTGCTTCTGTATTTCAACTCTCTGACCAGCGGACTTATTTTTGAAACCTTCTACAGTACATACAAAAGTTGAGTCCCACAATACTCGTTTGACCACATAACCAATAGCCTGCAATAATAATGCAAAGTCTCCATCCCTTTCATTAATTAATTTTATTAAACCCTCCTTAATTACGCAAATATATATAACAAACACCACCTATAAATGTATACTTATTCATAATCAGAAATAACTTGTAATTATCTATATATAATATTTGGCTTCTGAGTATCCTGTCCGTTCCTTCTGTTATATATATAGAGGGAGATATCAGTTATTGTTTGTGGATCAGGAAGGTACGTAATTGAGCATCGAAAAAATGAGCAACGTAAAAACCAAGAAGAGCAACCAACCGGGCATATTCAACAAATGCTTGAGGGCAACAATAAGGATGTTAATCAAGGCGAGGGACCTGTACGTGGAGGGCATGACTGACTGGTCAGAGAAGATTGCTTTGGGGACGGCGATGGGGTGCCCAACGGGTCAAGTCAACATGGGTTTGCCCCGGAGTTACAGTGTTAACTCGTCCAAATCATCGAGCAATAACGAGGACATGAGAGAGCTCATTAGAGCTGCTTCTACAAGGAGTCTAGGCAATAGAACTGATTCGGATCTTCTTCAGAGACAAGTGCAGGCAAGTAAAAGTGGATCAAATAAAAAGAAAATGCCGAGGAGTTTTAGTGTTGGTATTGGGAGAATTGATGAAGAACATATTTGTGATTTTGAGGAGGGTGATGTCAAGGTCAAGAAGAATAGTAATTTATTTCAAAGAAGTAGGAGCTATGCTGTTCCAAATTGACCATTGTCTACTTTCTTTTGTTTCTTGTTTCTGTAGTTACCTTTAATTTTTAGTTTGGCTTTGTGATTTGAGGTTGGTTGTGATTATATTTGAAGCTTATATACTCTTTTTAATGGAATATCATAATTTGTATCAGTTATTGGTATGTTCAGGACTCGAGTGGATATGTGAATCCTACCAGAAACTTTAACATCTTGATCTTTTTGTACAGATATTATAATTTTAGGGTACAAATATCCATGATTCCCCTATATTTTCTGCCCGATAAGTTTGTCAATAGATCAGTGATTCTAGCCATCGTTTAGGCTCAGTCTGATATGGTACTGCTGCCACCTGGTGACGAAAGTTTGCTCTTGGAGACTTCTCGTCTGAGACATCGAGGCTTAATCAGTATAAATTGAACCCAAATGACAAAACTCAAATTAAAGGCTGGACTCAATGCTATGGAAAAAAATTGGTTTTAGATTAAATATATTTAAGTAGTAATGGAAATATAATTATACCCTTGTATTAAGAAGTATATTTCTGTATTAATGGGTTAAATATAATCTCAATTGTCTTTCAAACGGGGTAGATCCTCATTTCTTGGGCAATATTATCCCAAAAGGAAAAACAATGGTCGGGTCCTATCAAATTAAATCAAGCTAAGATCATAATTAATCTGATGGCCCTGGGTTATTTCAAACTATCAATTCAATAATATTATTTTGTGTCGATAAGAATACTTAAATCATATTAAACATTTTAATCAAATTGAACTTATAAATAACATAATCCATAATTTAGCATTTTCCATAAGTCAGGTACAACATCTTACTTACTAAAGCGAAGGAAGACATAGAAAAGTTGACCTAATTTGCATTTTGGACCCGCAGAAGATTGCGATTGATAGAACCTCATAACCTAAGTAATGGGTGTTTTTATAAATTTGATTGGTACGTTTATTACAATTCAATTGTTTTATATAAGCAAGTGCTAAGGTTTTCTCACTTTAAAAATTATGCAGCTCCACGTATTATTACATTATAGAGAGGTGGGTAGATTTCAGTTTATCAAACAATGCTTCGACAATTTAGATTCATCAATATTTAATAATCCATTATTGGAGCCATTAACTTTAACTTTTTCTTTTTCTTAATTATAGACATTAAGATACTACATATTGAACTATTTTTCCAAATAATTTTATAAGCTTCATGGTTCTTAGAGAGTGGCCACTTTTATATGATAAAGAATACGATTTGATGAAGGTTGAAATCACTTTACTTATAGACCAATAAGTATAAGAAGAACAAGTGCTAAACACATCAACAAATATGTCCAATTGTTTTATTTTATTGTTGAATTTTTCTATTGTTGATGGTGAAGTTGCAGGTTAGCACTATAAACTATATAGATATATTATTCTACTAATGCAATGAAGCTTCAAAAAAATTGATTTTCTGCTTTTACTCAAGTCCTAAATTCTAATGCAGCTATTCGAGGGAATACTCCAACAGTGAAGGTATTCAAGAATTGGATTCTCTAACCATTACTCAAGTGCCAATTGCAGTTTCTGATTGGTAAAACTAGCTGGTTACCCAGCTCCAGAATACCAGCCTAAGCAATGTTTTGCTATGTTCAAGAGATGGACTTCTCAAGAACCTGCTCTAGCTCCAGAACCCCGATCTGCAAATTGCTTGAGTTCTTAAAAACTCATTGTGCTCCACTTATCACAACCATTTGTACACATATATAAAGAGAATGAGATGAATAAAGGATGGATTGAGATCATGATTGAAATTGGTTGATTAATTACCTAATTCTTTAATGTTAAGTGTAACCAAATCCTTGACTTGAGATATTGAAAGTTCACCAACAAAATCCAGATTTCATTTGCTCAATCCCAATTGATTGGATATAGGAACAATAGATGTAACCCCTTGATGAGTTTTAAGTTTGGCAGTTTAGGACTGACCCCACTGCCTTAATTTTATCCTCCTCTAAGATCACTTTATTTAAGGAAACCAAACTCTTAAGAAATTTTGTAATGGCCATGGCCACTTAAAGACACTAATTTTGGCCGCCATTGTAGACAAAGTGAGCACCTTAATAGGTTATTTGCTTTGTAATGACCTTCAGAAACTAATTATGAAAAGAATCACTGTGTGACAGAAAAGTAAACATAGAACTCCATTTTCATAGTTACAAACTTTGCTTCATCAATCTGATGGTGTAAGAAACAAAAATTGTTTCAAAGAAGAAGAAAACAAGTAATATTATACATTTGTTTGATTCTGCAGTACAATGATGAGAATATGCATCTTCTATCCTCACCATTTTGTGCAAGATGAGACAAAGATGGCCCACGTGATTGCCTATGTAACTTAGAACTAACTTACAACCCAAAATAGATAACGCATCATCAACATCTGTATCAGCCATGCAGCAAGTCCAAAAACAAGCTCTTCGTCTTCGTCTTCTTCTTCTTCTTCCGAGGGATATCAAATCTCCTTTACACTCATCTTTCTCAGCCATAAGGCAGAGAAGGGTAGAAATTCAAATCCTATCAGCAATAAAAAATTTATGAACAATTGGCCAAAATGAAAGTGCAAATTCATAAGCAGAACATTGACATTGATTGGACCAACTTCAGCAATTTGGGATACCTCTATTTTATTATGTTACTGTTGTTATTAAGGCCTACGGTTTCTTTGTCGACCATTAAGTATATTCCTGGATTTTCCGGTTCCCTTCCCTTCAAGCTTGAAACTGGGTGAGTTTGTTTTTCAATTTCACATACATTGTTTCATTTCCTAGATTCAGTAAACCCTTTGGAATGATCAAACAAGGAGAATAAGAGATAATATGCACTTAATTTTTTTTATAACTAGTACAATGTTTATATATAGATATATTGGCGTGGATGAGAACCAAGATGTTCAACTCTTCTACTATTTTATAGAATCTGAAGGAAATCCAAGTGAGGATCCCCTGGTGCTTTGGCTCACTGGAGGCCCTGGTTGCTCTGCCTTCTCCGGACTTGCTTTTGAGATAGGTGTTCCACTTATTTCTTCTTTTTAATATTCTTTTTGCCGTCAAAAGGTACCTAAAATAGAATGTAAGTCTCATTTTTTTATATGAAATGGTTACTCCTCTTCACATGAACGAGCTTTTTGATTCATTTCATACTTATGCAGGCCCTATACGTTTTGACATTGTCAAGTATAATGGCAGCTTACCAACCATGGCACTGCATCCGCATTCATGGACAAAGGTGGAGAAGATTTATTGACCGAGTGATGAGAGATTACAGCTGTTATTTTTGGTTGTTTTTTATGATTTCCAACCGACTATTTGATGCATTTCCAGGTCTCCAGTATAATCTTCTTGGATGCACCAGTAGGCACTGGATTCTCCTATTCAAGGAGCTTCCAAGGTTCCAAGACTGGAGACACAAAGTTTGCCAAACAAAGTTATGAATTTCTGAGAAAGGTGTGAAAACATTTTGATTTAATCCAATCATAATGGCATCTTAAGATAACAGACGTGGTTTATAGTTTAATTAAATTTAAGGTACAAGGCGCCTTCTTGCACTTCTGTTGTTGATAAATCATTTACTGAAATTAGTACTGGTTGGCTATACAGTGGTTGCTGAGACACCCAAAATTTATTAGAAATCCCCTCTATGTTGCCGGTGACTCACATTCTGGAAGGATCGTTCCGATCATTTCAAGTAAAATATCAGCTGGTAATCTTGGATGGTGCCTTTCTCAATTCCCCAACCCTTCTTGATTATGGCCAGTTCCAAAGTTTATAATGACTCTGCAGGCATTGAAGTTGGGCATGAACCACCAATCAATCTCAAAGTATGTATTCTAGTATCCTCAAAATTACCTTGTTGCTTGGTGTCTTTGGTTTTATGCAGCAATGACATGCCCACAAACCGGTTCAGGGTTATGTGCTGGGTAACCCAGCAACAGATTCAAAATTTGATGACAATTCAAAAGTTCCATTTGCTCATCGCATGGCACTTATTTCTGATGAACTCTACCAGGTTAATTTTAACTTCCTTTCAGTTGTAATCCTAGGTATTTCATACTAATTGCCATCAAATTACATGAAAGTTTTATAGTCACATGTTAGCTTAGTTCTGCGCAATCCGAGATAGTTCTAAGTTGTGCATTTCTACCAGTCGGCGAAAAGGAATTGCAGAGGAGAATATGTAGAAGTAGACAAGAGCAATGTACAATGTGCAAAGGATCTTAAAGCTATCTATGAGGTGAAAATGCTGATATGTTTTCTAGTTTTAAAGATCATGTTTCTTGATTTTTGTTTGCTTTGTTGATTCCATGAACAATTTTGCCTGTTGTAGTGCACTAAACGAGTGAATCATGCACACATCTTGGAAAAAAAGTGCACTCCAATCTCAAGAAAACTAAATAAGGAGGATGCCCGTTATCACAGATATCTCCTGGAAGAATACGACGAGTCCTTGTTTATGCCTGTTGATCCTCAAGAGTGCAGGGTAAACCTTTCACTGCTATCATTTAAATAAATGAGTTCAGATGTTTGACTTCATTTGTTGCATAAAAATTTCAGTACTACAATAATTTTCTTTGCAACAAGTGGGCGAATGATATCAGTGTCCAAAAGGCGCTTCGCGTTCGAATGGTAAGAAGCTGCAGCTACCTCAAATAATTATCATTATTCTAGGAAATTATCATTATTCTAGGAACAACCTTGTGTGTAATTTCTATGATGTAATTCAGGGAACAATCAAGGAATGGATAAGGTGTAACAGAAGCTTAGATTACGAACATGATGCCAAGAGTCTTTTGAGCTATCATCTGCGTCTTAATAAGAGAGGTTACCGAGCTCTAATATACAGGTTTTATACCGCCACCACAACTTTCCAGTTTCCATCCTTTACAGAAGAAAAGTAAATCAATAATAGCGTGGCCTAGTTTTCTGATTGTCGACTCAATTATACTCTGCAGTGGTGATCATGACATGGCTATTCCCTACTTGGGCACCCAATCTTGGATCAAGGCTTTAAATTTTTCTGTTGTCGACGAGTGGAGGCCATGGCTGGTTGATGGTCAAGTTTCAGGGTAGTGTAAAATAATTACATAGATATATTGTTCTACTAATGCAATGCAGCTCTAAATGAAATAAATTTCTGCTTTTACTACAGTCCTTTCATTCTAATGCAGATATTCCAGGGAATACACCAACAACTTCACATTTGCAACTGTAAAGGTAATAAAGAATTGAATTTCTAACCTTACCTCTAGTGCCAATTACAGTTTCTGATTAGTAGAGTTTTGTTTACAATGTTTTCGATTGTGTAGGGAGCGGGCCACACAGCTCCAGAATACCAGCCTAAGGAATGTTTGGCCATGTTTGAAAGATGGATTTCTCAAGAACCTTTGTGATCACTTCCAAGCTCTAGCTTCAGAGCCCCGATCTGCGAATTGCCTGAGTTTGGTTTCACGTGCCCTTCTAGTGGCCGTGAAGATGAAGAGCCTGTTACTTCCTGTTGCAGGTAACACTGAGCAAATAAAATTTTTTGTCTTGGGAGTTCTGTAAACAAGCGTTGAAATAGAGTGGCAGTGCCGTAGTGGAATGAAATCTGAATATGGGATATGGCTAATTATAGTCATTTTGTGCACATATGCCATGCACCTTCTGTGTTTTTGAGATATGCTCTTAATTGCATTCGGCACCAGTTCATCGATGTTTTTGCTGACAATCTTCTAATAAGTTCTACAGTTCCAAGATAAATTCATGACCAATACCATAAAATTCTTTTAAGCATTTAAAAATATTGAGTAATAGCCTTCAACCAATTTCAATACAGTATATTGAACTACTTAAATAAGACACGTCTACTATCATTAAAGAAAGAGCAATTTTCACACACACTTATCGTGATGCGTCGTGAAGAGAAACGGCGAAAGTTCCATGAAGCCGTTCTTAACACTCTTTACCCTCCACCATCACCACCCCAAGTAATTTTTCTTCCTGATTTTTTTTTTTTTTTTTTTTAAATAACAATCTAATTGGGATTATATCTCATAATTGATAATACAGGCAGTGGATGAAGAGGAAAAACCCGGTCACCCATTAGAAGATTTCGACGTGGAACTTATAAATCTAGGTTTGGTACTTGAAACATCGATAAATACTAAAAATTTGTAATGTTATTTTGGAAAATTGTGTATGGATATTATCCCCTAGGTAAATATTAATTTTTAAAATAAATGCAGATGATTTTGTGAGGACTGGTTCCTCAAGTGATGGCGGTGATGACGTGACGCTAACAAAAGGTGAGGGTGGTGAATGTGAGCCTCAAAAGCTGAGCAGGGCTCAACGCAAGAGACATTCATAGAAGAAACTCGGAAGTGCTCTCGTAGAAGCAAAATCAGGGCCTTTGCTGCCACGACAAAACAAGAGGAAGAAAACGTAATGATGGTAGAGATGAAATTCAACAACCAGGTGTTCGACAAAATGTCCATGAGGAAGTGAAGTTACAAAAGACAAGTTTGGTAAGATTCCATAATGAAGTTTAAAAGATATGGTTATTGTAAAGAAAGTTTGATTCATTTAACAAGCGTTTGTTCAGGTGGTGCGGTTGGTTGCAGCAAGCAGAAGAAGCTAAAGAATAGGAGGTTGGCAAAGAGGGTGGCCAAGGAACAGTTGAAGTTGTCCTCAGGCAGTGAGAAAGTCGATGAAGGTCAAAGCTTTGAGTCCTCTAATAACAGAGGAAATTGTGAAAATGATCATTCTAGTATGGAAAATAGTGACCAAGCTCAGGCTAGTAATCCTATTAGTCAAGATTGAAGGACTGTAGAGGGAGCTGGAGATGGCACTCATTATTGTTTAAACATGGGAGTGAAGGATAATTTTATGAAAAGACGAAGACGATTGTTTTCATTCATTCTAGGTGTGAATTAATTTGTGGGTTTTTCATATATGCACTCTTTATTGTAAAATTATTTAAGTTTAATCGAAAGTAGACAAAGTGTACATTTGAATGATACTAAAGTTTGATTATGTATGAAATGATAATTGATAATTTATAGCAGTTAGGGCATATGGGTTATGAGGGTTGCAACTCTAACAAACAAATGCCTAACCAGCTTTGGATCAGCTTTCGTGTTTATATGGTGACTAGATGGCACGCCGCGCATTGTGCAGTTATTATATATATTTTTATTTATTATTGAATTTTTATTTAAGAATTGAAAAGATTATTGTTTTACAAAAAAAATATGTCAAATATTGATAATAAAGAGCATTTATTATGTGTCTTTTTTTTTTTAATCGGGTTTTTATGTTAAAGATTGCTGAGAATCGTCATATGATTGTCATTTAGGATGTCGTATTGGTCCCCGTATTTGCTACTTATTGGTGTTGTAAAATGATGATTCACATGCATTCAATTAATGTATGCAGGACAGATCTTTCACATTCCTCTTTTAATTTGATAAAATGCAAGTGATGGAAGATTGAAATAGTCAATTTGTAATCAGCAGGAATTGAATTAATTGAATTCAACACATAGAAGTTGAAAGTCTCGCAACTCATGAAAGTGGTTGACACAAAAAATAAATTAATTAAAGAACGAAATAGTACTGGCACTTTTAGTGATGGAATATATTCCCTTTTCAAAGCAAAAGAAGATTGCCATACTTTTCTTACAACAATTTGGTACATATAATATATTGAAATGACAATTTTGCCCTTCTTAAAATTAGTAGTTCCTGCATGGAATTAACTATGCTTTAAGGTCAACAGTTAATCTTTCACCATTTTAAAAGGTTGTCACCACCAGAAATGAGAACAAAAAAAAAAAACTTGCCATCCTTCATCATCAACACAAAATCTCTTCGCCACAAAACACAAACTGTTAGGCTAAGAGGCCACAACAAAAACATGAACCTATCTAAGAATGTAAGTTTGCAACTTTTTGATAAAAATATGCTTCATTGATAAACACTTTGCAATTAACATTGTTTATAAGACACAGAAAAACAAAAAAATGGACATATTTTTTTTTTTTTTTTTAAATGGTTCATACGTGACTACGCCAAAAAAGAAGTGTTCATTAAAATATCCGAATGTCACCTCTGTCAATGTCACTGTGACCATCACTGCCAAAGGTTGGCTACATAATAAAAAGATCAAAATGAATCAATTTCGTTAGTAATAATATGAAATTCATAAACAAACAATGGTTTAAAGCAAGCACCTGTGAGTGGGGCAATGGCTGACTACACTTGGAATGACCACTTTCGGTTCCTCAACAGTGGTGTATAGGTTATTGTTGTAGGGTGAACAACTCTTAGTCAAGCACAGAGAGAAAGATAGGAACTATAGTTCCAAGTCCATGAATATATCAAAAACTGATAATGAAATAGCATCATTGATTCTCCAAAGAGCTTGATGCGAGCTTAGGTCCTCAAGTCAAGAGGTTAGTCAAATTAGCCAAAATTGAATATGAATATCCAAGAATTTGTCAAACATCCGTATAGTTTTAATCCAAACTTAAGCTCTACACAAAGTTCACTAAAAACTTAAAAATTTCTATTTGAAAAACTCTTTCTGCAAGAAGTTTGAGTTTATACTCAAAGAAAATAATGGGTTACTAATTAGTCTGGTTGCATAAAAGACCAAGAAAAAAAAATTCAACTGATATATAAATTAGAAAACTTAAAGAGTAAGTGTTTTTAAGATTATACTAAGTTGGCACATAAATCATCAAATTTTACTCTATAAAGAAAAGATTACTTTCGAATATGGTCTCTACTTCCATCATGGTAGCTACGGGTTTGAGAACTAATCAGTTCATTTATGTTAAAAAAAAAAAAAAAAAAACAATTAAAAGGATTTACTCATTATCCCATCACATGCACATGCACATGCACACACAAAAACACATACTGTATATGCATTAAATATGACAAAGTAAGAGAAAGTTGTGCAATTCTTGGAAGCTAAAACATTGTGCAGTAGCTAAAATATATCATATCAATTTGATAGAGATCTGGATAAAAACCATACCATTATGCTGTGTACCCTAATCAATCTATAACTTCACATGGAAAATATATAGTAATGTATGAAAGAATAATACTAGACATGACGGAGGTAGAATGCCATCCACCATAACCATGTTGGGTTCCCAAAAGCACTACCAGAGCAATAGAAGTTACTCACTCCTCAATTGATCTTACGTTTCATCTAGTTTTCTAGCACAACTCTTGGTTATACAAAGGGCTGCAATTCACAATACAAACATCATAAGTTCACGCGTTAGTCTACATATATAAGAAATAAATGAGAAGGAAACAAAAAAGAAATGAAACCTGTTAGAATCATTCACAATGGCTTCAAAAACAACCTCATCAACCTACAGGAAATCCCAATTCAATTAATCACAAAAACAATCAAACACCGCCATCAAATTTCCAATAAACATTTGAATTCTACACAAACATACCCGTCTAGCAAGGCCAAGGCTAACACTATCAAGAATCTTGAAATCAGACCTCTTGAACCTCATAACATGCCCGACTCTTCTTCCTCCACAAAAACAACCTCAGATTCAACTCAGGAAAAAACCTTCCTCGAAGATAAAACACTGAACTCCAAAAGTTCTCCTCTGAAACATCACACATGACTTTGACTTCCCACAAACTGCCTACTAATCAGCCTTGTTGACAAATTCCCACTTAAACTCCATCTCTCAACACCCTCCAAACCCGAACTGGAACCAATCCCACATATCGCCATATAGCGAATATGCAAAAAGACAATTTTGGATCATTCTGAGAACAAAAACAACTGTAGACATTTAGTTCTCATGTCATTTTAAGGAACATATAAAAAAAAATTAATATTTAAATCTAAGTCATTGAATTATACAAAGAAATTAATCATTCAACACATATAGAATAAGTTTAAGTTCAATTGTTGAGAAACTTATTCACTACTTAATTAAAAAACTTTTAAAATTTAAATCCAACCTATTAAGTTATACAATGAAATGGAATCTTTAATAAATGAGTTAAAAGGTGTAAAATGGTAATGTAGAATTATGCGTTAACTGTAGAATAAACAATATTTATATTAGCTTCTGGTATCATCATTCAGTGGGAACAAAAAAAACAAAGGTATTTATACCTTTAAAAAGTGTTTATGACACTCATTTTCTTTAAAAAAATTGTTTTGAATTTATATATCCTAATAATTTTACACAAAAAATCAGTACACTAATCCCATAAATCAAAATGTAATAGTATAACTTAAATAAAAAATCATATAAATTTTGTCAAAAATTGATGTGAAATTTTAATTATTAAAAATTATATTAATATATTGGTTTGAATAATATTACCCCAACAATTTTCTTTTATAGACTTTTTTTCATAACTTTGATATGATAATTTATAATTAATTAATTTATAATATATTTTATTAATTAATTATTTATCAATTATGAATTGTTACGTCAAAATAAGAGAATATTTGTGAGAAATGATTCTTGTATAATATTTCTGATTTACTTTCAAATAGTTGCTCGTTGTCTGAGGACTACCAATTTGCCAATAAAAACACGGGCATATCCATTTACGTTCCTGCCCTTTTTCTCAGCTGCGTCTACATTTACCTTTTTGTCCTATCATTCCCTCAAGCTGCTGTGAGTTACACAGAACTACAAAACCCTAAACCCTAACCAGATTTTCTGTGTCCTTCGCTAACAATGGCTGAACTGAAGCTCTCAGAATCACGAGACTTAACTCGAATCGAGCGTATAGGCGCACACTCCCACATCCGTGGTCTGGGTCTTGACAACACCTTAGAACCGCGGGATATATCGGAGGGCATGGTGGGCCAAGTTTCGGCCCGCAAAGCTGCTGGTGTTATCCTTCAGATGATTAGAGATGGAAAAATCGCCGGTCGGGCCATCCTCATAGCGGGCCAACCCGGAACCGGGAAAACCGCCATAGCAATGGGCATGGCAAAATCCCTCGGACTCGAAACCCCCTTCGCCATGATCACTGGCTCGGAGATTTTCTCCCTCGAAATGTCGAAAACAGAAGCTTTAACGCAATCCTTTCGAAAGGCTATTGGAGTCAGAATTAAAGAAGAAACTGAAGTCATTGAAGGGGAAGTTGTTGAGGTCCAAATTGACCGCCCTGCGACAGCAGGAGTTGCAGCGAAGACGGGAAAGTTGACTCTCAAAACGACGGAGATGGAGACCGTTTATGATTTGGGGACGAAGATGATTGAGGCTTTGGGG